CGTTCCTCTTGTGGTTTTTTTGGGAAAAACTCAGGTGAGTGTGTGGCTTTGTATCCGGACGTGTTTCCATCACAGTAGTAGTTTTGTTTCATTCGGTGTGACGTGTGCACGTGGTGTCGTGAGGAGCTTGGAATGATCACCGGGGTCGGAAGGGAGGGTAGGAGCGCCCGAGAGGAGGTTGCTAAGGGGAACTACACGGACACGGGATTTGAGGTATTTGAAGGGAACCAGAGGCATCTGTCTGTGGTCGGGGTGCCCCCGGGGCCGGTGCCCAGATGAAGAGTCTGTAGCGATCACGCCCTTGTCCTGACTGTCGGGATCTGGGGTTCTGCAGGGCACCCCACCTGTAAGGGATCTCGGAGGCATTTAGGAAGATGGGCGGAGTCGGGTTCAGGTTGGGGTTTTGGTAGGCAGCTTAGAGATTTGGGGCCTGTGCGGGTGGCCGTCCCATGCGGGTGTCCGACCAAGGTTTCTGTTTAATAAAGGAAGTGTGATCCGTGTCCGTGGTCCGGAGAGGTTTGTGAGGGTGAAGTTTTGGACGCGGGGGATTATTGGTGTTTAAGGTTACAGCCTCGGCTGCTGTTGGGACAGAAGGCCTTAGGGCCCAGGGTACTATTTCCAATCTTTGTGTGTGTGTGTGTGTGTTTTTAAACTTTTATTTTTATTTTTAAAATATATTTTATTGATATTTTACAGAGAGGAAGGGAGAGGGATAGAGAGTTAGAAGCATCGATGAGAGAGAAACATTGATCAGCCGCCTCCTGCACACCTCCTACTGGGGATGTGCCTGCAACCAAGGTACATGCCCTTGGCCGGAATCGAACCTGGGACCCTCCAGTCCGCAGGCCAACGCTTTATCCACTGAGCCAAACCAGTTAGGGCTTAACTTTTAATCTAGTAGTTGACTAACTACAAATTCAGAAGATAAACCAACAACATGCATTTGTCATGTATCCTCTTTGGCACTTTCCTCGCTGCAAAGGCAAAACTGGGTTGTTGTGATACAGGTTTTGGTTTGCAAATTGGAAAATGTTCATCTCTCTCTTTCAGAGAATGTTTGCCAACACAATGCCTGAACTCACCTCTGAGTATACAGCAGCAGACACTGTTGCCTATTTGCCTGTCATATGTTCATAGGTATTCTTTTTGCTAACTGAATCTCCATTTTATTTAATACCCATCCCTTTGGTAACATGACCCATATGCCAGTGTATTAGTAAGTATTGATCTGTGTTAGACAACCTTGTTGGGTCCAATTCCCATTGCTAGTGATTGAATCAATGTGAAATGAGCTTAGGTACATGGCACAGTTCTAACCAGCTATATATGTGACAATCTGTTAGTCGTTTCTGGGAAGGAATTTTCTCTTTTAAATACACAATTCCTTGAGGACGAAGGGGAGCATTTCCCACCCTAAAACATGTCTCTATGGGACGTTGATTCTTTTTTTTTTTTTTTAATGTATTTTATTGATTTTTCACAGAGAGGAAGGGAGAGGGATAGAGAGTTAGAAACATCGATGAGAGAGAAACATCGATCAGCTGCCTC